CTACGCAATCAGTTTGGGGTACCCTCTCCGGGACCACAGAAGACATCTTGTAAGCTACATGATCGTCATGCGCCCGAACGCATCCCACGACCTCCGACCGATCACCCTCCCTCCTCTAAGCATCTTCAGATCCTCACATGGAATACGGGAGGACTCGGTGGGGGGCTATACGATGAGATTTTAATTCACATACACAACCATCCGATCGACATACTCATGCTGCAAGAGACTAAATGGCGATTTAGCAGTAGCTGGGATACTCATAAATATATTTTTGTACACAGCGGTTCCGCGGCCACAGACTTTAAACAAGGGGGTCTCTTGACGATCGTCGCCAAACGGCTGCTAGACCCTGGCTCTCTCCGATATGTAGAAACCATCCCGGGCAGGTTGCTTCGTGTCCAGTTTCATCACAAGTCGCAGCCATGCGACATTATCAATTTTTACCAACACACTTGGCGTGCCACCGATCATATCAAGAAGCTACGACATCAGGCCTTTGACCAACTCACGCGTGTCATTCAGACCATCCCTAAACGAAGTCTCATGATAGTGGGAGGCGATTTTAACACTTCGTGCTCGAGGTCTGCACCTCATGTCGGTGAGCACCTCCTGGAGCCGCCGCCCCATTGGGCCACGGATCACGAGGACCTCCAGGCACTGGTAGCCGGCCTTGACCTCTGTGTCTTAAACACTTTCCAGTCTCGGCACCCTCCACATACCTACGCGTGGGGCACACAACGCTCGCACATCGACTTTCTCATTCTTCGGCGGGACCATGCTGACAGCCTCTCTCGATCGTCACACGCATTGCATGACTACCCCTTGGGTGCGTGGCGCGGCGGTGCGCGACACTTCGACGGTCTATGGCCAGGTGCCCATTCAATGGCGCCCCTGGCAAGGGGCTGCACGGGCTCCCAGTAGTCCCACCATTGACCGTCATGCGATAGCGGATGCTCTCGCAGGCCAAGCCGATGCACGTCTCCAGGCCTTTCGCCGGGACCTTCATTCACGTCTGCCTGCGCATTTCGCGGATGTTGTCCAATTGCATGACTTGGTGCACTCCCTAGCAGTGCGGCACTTCCCCAAAAAGGCGGTGGTGCGCGGGCCGAGACCATGGCAGGATGGTACGCTTCAGCAGTATGCCGCCCGTATGTGGGGTCATCTCCGCGGTCTGCGAAGGTGGGCACAACGCCCGGCTGCGGCGCGTTGCGCACAGGCTCTGTTCCGTTGCTGGCGTCACAGTGTTCACTTTCTGAAGATGCATCGCCTAGCTAAGCAACAGGGTAGGGATCTTCGCAAGGCCAGGAAGCATTCCATCCTGGAGGAAGCGGATGCTGCCATACGCCAAGGCCAGAGTCGTCTTTTCTACCAGTTAATTGATAAGTTGGCACCAAAGAGTCGCTTTCGTAAGTTTCAGATGTCTCAGGGGGGACGCGTTCTTACGCCAGCGGAAGAACTTGTGGTGATGCGCAAGCACTTCATGCAGATATTTAACCACGATATCCTGCCACCTGACCACACACCGGCCATTCCTGTGCATGGCACCATGCATGTCTCTAAGGAAGAGCTTCGGGTCTTCCTTGATAAGCTTCCTGCTCGGAAGGCCGGGGCCCCGAACACTGTTCCGGGCGCGGTCTGGCGTGCGTGCTCGGACCTCATCGCAACTCCGCTGGCTGCGGTGCTCAATCATCGATGGCAATCCACTCCCCTTACGCCACCTGAAACGTGGACTGTGGCCACCCTGTCATTGCTTCTTAAGCCTCATAAGACTGGCTCCTCCCCCAGGGATTTTCGCCCCATAGGGTTGTTGGATGCCCTTGGTAAGGCCTCCATATCTATGTTGCTCTCCAAAATTAGACATGACCTCGAGGGATACATTCGCACATCCCCCCAGTATGCCTATGTCACTGGCCGTTCCACCTCAGATGCACTTCGGAGGGTGTTCCTACATAATTCCCAGGTTCGAGCAATGAGAACGCCCAATGCCAGAGACCCTCACTACAAACGAGCCGGGGGTAAGCAACCTTCCCTACAGGGGGGACTACAAGTATGCTTAGACCTTACCTCGGCATTCGACTTCGTCCCGAGGCACTTTATCGCCGAGGCCCTCTCAGAGGCGGGAATCACAGGGGCGCCAGCTGAGCTGCTCATGAATTGGCTCCATGGTTGCTCTTATGATCTTTACATTGAAGATCTCCATGCACATCTCCCCACCACCCGGGGCGTCAAACAGGGATGCCCGGCGAGCCCGTTGCTCTTCGCAGCCTTCATGACTTTAGTCACGCGACGCCTGAGCGCCAAACTATCCGATGCATGGGTTGCCCAAAACCTGACCATGTTTGCTGATGATTTTCATATCGGCAAGACTTTCTGCGGGTATCATGAGCTCGAGACCCTGAGCTCTCATATCGGCTACATCATGTCCACCTTGCGTGCTCACGGCATGAGTGTTCATGCCACCAAGGCCCAGGCTATTATGTCCCTTGAAGGCACCCAGCGTAGCACTGCTCTCCAGAAGTTAACTAAGAATTCTGAGGATGGTCGTTTGCTTCGGGTAAGCTCTAAATATGGCGACGAGTTCCTGCCCCTTGTTCGCCGGGCTGACTATCTAGGGGCGGTCACCACATATGATTCCTGTGCGACAGCTACTCTACGTAAACGTGTGCTCCTTGCTAAGTCGACGCACTCACGCCTACGGTGTGTTCTGTATGCACATCGTCAGCTCACAATTCCACATAGGGTCCGCTTATGGAGGGCTACCGTATGGCCCTGCTTGGCCTATGGCTTGGAGGTGTGTGGTCTCTCGGAAGAGCACCACGCCCAGATTCAAACTCTGGTCATGCGACATCTTCGAGGGATTGCGCGCAGTCCTGCGCACCTCACGCATGAATCAGACGCAGCCCTGGCGACTCGTCTCCAGGTACCACTTCCGAGAGACTCCCTTCGACGTGTCTTTGAGTCCGCCTTTGGAAGGCAAGAACCAGATGATCCGCATATGCTACTATTTGATCACCCCTGGAACCAGCATCTAGCTGAGTGTCTAGCCCCACCCTCCTCTCAATCGCCTGTGCCAGACACAGGTGCAGCAGCCGCCATGGCTATGCCTCCTGGCACAGAGGCCCGTCCTACCATAGACACTCCTGTGGAGTCTGATGTGCCTAAGCCGCTGATGAGCACAGCCATCCCGCCCGTCACTCTCCCTGATCCTGAACCCTTGGCCCCATCTAGTGAAAGGCCTCCTGCCCCTGTGGAGCAGCCGCGTCTCCAGTGTCCGTATTGTCCCAAAGTCTGCGACAACAGAAAATCTCTTAAACTTCACGTCTCCAGGGTCCATAAAATTAATGTCCCCGCGCATCCCTTTGACAGATCACTTCACTCAGTGAATGGTATGCCCACGTGCGTTTTCTGCCGACATGCATTTACGCGGTGGGAGGTTCTCGAGAAACATGTTAGCTCCTAGAGCTGCGCCAACATGCCACTACCGCCAACACACCAAGCAGCTCCTCTAAACTCCGACCCCTCGAATGCCCAGTCCCAGGTGCACACTGGTGGATCGTCGGATGATCCAGCTCAGGCCCCCGTCTCAGGACCATCCGAATTGTTGGCCGCGGTTCCCGAGGGTACAGCCTCTGACTCCCAAACACCGCCGCCTCTGCCTCCTGCGCGCTCAGCCGGACCTCACCGCACTGACATCTCTGCGCCAGGTTGTGGTCTAGCATCCAATGCTACTATTACGGCGCCGTCAGGCTCAGATGTTCCGATGACTATCCAGGTTTCTGACATTTTGTCACGAGGGGGATTACGAGCGCTGCTACGGCACAAAATGGCGCCCGACCTTCTGCATATTTGCGGTGAGTGCGATCAATGGCTCGCCACTCCCACCGCTCTTCGCAACCACTATAGGTCGAAACACCCGTCGCTGTTCCTGAGATTCTCAGAGCAGGCCGATAAGTTGGCTCTTCGGGTAGGGATTGCCATGAATCCATGTCTATATTGCGCTCTTTCACATCGTCATGCATCCCAGCATCTTTGTCATTGTGTGAGCCTGTGGCAGTGCTGTTTGCTTAGCCTTCGACATGGCTATGGCCACGGATCAGGCCACGGATGTTCTGGGCCAGCTCAACGATTGCTTCGGGAGTGTGCTTCAGGGCAAACGGGGGTCGGATCCCTCCAACCCTCCGCAGACGGGGGACAGGCCTCCGAAGGTGGGTCGTTGACAGCTGGCACTGGGAGGCCGGGGCAAGGGCTTTCAGGGTGGGGGAAAGGGCAACCGCCGAGCACAGAGGAGAACTCAGAATCGCCAGCAGTGGAGCGGGAGCAGCAACAGCAGTTATCCCGATGGTTCCACGGAGGACGGCGAGGACTCCGAGCTTCTTCATCTTGTGGCGAAGGC